GCAATAAGCAGTTCTCGATTCGAATACAAATTAAAAGTGTGTAACCAAAGTTGCGATGACCAACGCACATTGAATAAAAATTACAAATCGAGTGTGGCCTGTTTTCTAAACAACGATGTAGCATCTCTTAAATAACTTTAAATGTTAATAGCTTTGTTTAGATTTCTATTAGGTATAATATCATTAGTTGGTTTCGTTATTAATAATAAGAATGAATTTATGATTTTGAGCTTATTTCATCTAGTGCTTCTGCAATTAAAATTTTATACATCTTCATACACAAATTTTCGTTAATTAGCCATTTAGCTGTCAGCTGGTAAGCTTACGACTTACATTATTTAATCTGTGTCCCTGTTGGACCATCCATTTTCAGATTAGCAATATTCTATGTGCGAAAAGCTTGATACCCTTAGGAGATTATTTTAATATTTATTCCTTTAAAAAACTGGATATCACTCTTATGGTATCAAGATTATGTAGAAATTTAATGTGTTTTTTATTAGTTGATATATCTTTTAATAAAAAGTGGATAGCTCCTAAAAACCGCACAAATAACGACTAGCGCAACAATTTGCTCAACCATGCGCCTTAATGTGTGTTAAACAAAATATTTTAAAATGTAAACATAAAACGCCACATTATATCGTCACAATCGGGCCAGCTATTCAGAACATTAGCTCTTACAGACAGAGAAAATTTTTACAAAATGTCATACATGACGTGCAATCAACCGCCTGAGCTAAATAAAAGGCAGTTATTTCGATATTACAGACAGAGACACTTTAATTTTATTTATGTGTATAGAAAAATAAATATGATTAGAGTTATGATCTTAATGACATGACCAATTAAACAAATTATTATACGTTAAACTCGCTTTTTATACTTTACAAGTATGTAAGGATTTTCTCATTGTGCATTAATTAATCATTTTAATGTCAATGAAAAATCATAAGTCCCTAATAATTAGGTCAATGATATTGCGATGAGTCACATTCTAATTGAGATCGGCGTAAGACCAACCTATTGTCTGTTTGTAATGTCTCTGTCTGCAAGGTCGTATCAGGAAAAAAGCAATGATTTTCTTATTTAGATAAATTCAAATTTAGTCGTAGGTAATACCTATAGTTTGTAATTGTTCTCTACCACCATATTAAAAAACCACGAACTCAATAATTTTATTGAAAATGAAAATGAAAATTATTTATTGCTTCAAATATTTTTTTTTATTTCCAACAGAACCAACAACATTTAGTTACATTATAAAGTTTGTAAATATCTTCATTTTTTACTGCCAATTACAGGTTCTTACTTCATATAAAAATATTCTTATAACAGGTTGCATAAATACGTTGAAAATATTGGTAAGTCCTCAAATTTCATTATTTTTTTTTTTGCATTAAAAAACGCTAGGATGTTTTCCACAATAGGATTTTTGCATGTATCATGACGGCAGTTTAAATATATATAAATTGAACAAGGACACATAGTGCCATGAACTAGCAGACTATTTACTTTAATTCCCACAGCCTAGAATTTTTTACTATAGGGACTATCGGCCACGGAGGTCGCCGCTGGAGATAAGAGAGCTGGTTCTTTTCTCGATCAAATGCTAAGCGTCACGCTTCTCAATTATTGACATGATTATTTCGCCGATTGTGATTTGTGGCCAAATGCTGTGAATAAATCTCCTCACCACAAAATGGCAGAAATTAATTTCATCACAGATTCACAAATTTCTGTTTTTTTTTAGTCAGTAGTCACAAAAGATTACACAAGTTCTGTAATAGATTTATCGCATAATAATAAAAGGTATGATATGTTTACCAGAAGTAGCTAATGTTTAGTTACTATATGATTAATTACTATAATTAATATTTTCTGCTATAACCAACCGATTCAAAACAACAACATACTAATGCTGTCTTTATCAACCGACTTCAAAAAGAAGGAGAGGTTTACAATTCGTCGGAATATTTTTTTTAATGTATGTTCACCGATTACTCGAAGACGCCTGAACCGATTTGGAAAATTCTTTTTTATCTTTCAAATGGTATACTTCCCAGGTGGCCCCATTTAAATTTTATCGAAATCGGTCGAGCGGTAAAAAATCAAAGTAAATATGTAATAATTTAAAATTAAAAATTTTGTACAGCCGACTTCAATATAAGTTATTTAAGAATAACTTAAAAACTATTGGTCTGACCTTGATCAAATTCATATGGGACCACACGAGAAGTACCAGCTTTCAAATAAAAAAAGAATCATCGAAATCGGTACACCCAGAAAAAAGTTCTGAGGTAACACACATAAAAAAAAAAAAAAAAAAAAACGAAAAAAAAAAAACATACAGTCGAATTGAGTACCGGCTCCTTTTTGGAAGTCGGCAGAAAAGATATTAAAGTGCAATGAAAGCAAAATTGATTATTAGGCTAGGTTATAGGTACGTACACCTACCAATTATCTAAAGAAAATTTCTCTTAAAGGACTTGAAGGGCAATACATAAAAACACATTGAAAACATAAAAATTCCATGTCTACAAAGTGTTTGTTTTGTTGAAAACATGTTATCGTTTAAATAATACAAAATAATTTATTTAACGTGGTTACGTATTACAGACAGTCGGCTGCCTATTAAAAAAGCGACGCAATAGATTGTGATTATATGTAAGTATTTAAGTTTTACTCTGTATGAGCTTCATTACTAATATTACATCTGTACACAATAAGATATCTAATATATTAATTTGACGAAATACCTAATAAAATAAATACTTTTTTAGCTGTCCGCCTTGCAGTTTGTTTCGTATCAGCCAAATCAATTTTACTTTTATGTGGAGTATAATTATTAAAATACCTTTACATACCTGCGTATACATGCATATTAATATACTCATAGTATATGAATGTACATTTGCATAATTGCTTCTGTTATTTCCTGTACTTTACGAATGTTTCATTCGCCTACTGCATTTTTTTTTAATGAATCACATATAATTATAAGATAGGAAGGATATAAGTAAGTAATTATTATGACTAGATTAATTTGGACAAATAAAATGATAGAGGTTGGCAGTTGTGCGCGTATCACGGAAAAACTACTGGATAGATTTCAATATTAGGTTTTCTAAGTTTTATTTCTTAGAGTCTTAGACACTTGGCCCTTACCTAAAAAATATTGCAATATCTTTATTTAATATAAACTTGTGTGTGTTTCAGTGGTTCCCTGGGTGGTTTAGATTCACAATTGTCGAGATCCAGAAATCATCCATGCGAAGCCGGTGCGGATCGCTAGTCTTTTATATTTTTATGCAACAGAAAGCCAAATTTGCCGCAAAGATCAGTTCAAAACCAAAAAGGTACTCACCCACCATTACTCTTTACTTTTAGGATTAAATTACAAATCCTGCAACAGCAACTCCATTTACACACAGTAATTAATTGATGATTATATTTACACAAAAGCAGACGGCAGTAAGTAGGTATAACCAACATTTTTGATGTTTTGAAGCAAGTAGCTCCCTGAGCTACTACGGTTCTCTCAAGGGAAATATTTACCAGCGCTAGTGACGCTAGTAATAATTTTCACGCGAGGAGTCCGGATTCAAACCCTAATTACATTTTTAATTGCAATTTTAAGTGTTTATTTATTTTTAGCTCGGCGGTGAAGGAGAATATCCAGTACTGGAGCAACGTGGAGCGTGGACAACTAAATCTCCGTCCGAGGGCATATAAAGTTAAAGTTACAGCCTGTATACGTCCCACTGCTAGGCACAGGCCTCCTGTCGTTTCTGAGGGGTTTTTAGGGAAAGAAAATGTCTATAAGCTCCTTAGAAATAAGTGGACCATTAATTAGCATTATTTATGATGATAATCAATGAGTATTCCATAAACAGCAATTATTAATAACAAACAGTAAAAAAAATAGCAGTAGCATTTTTGTTCGAGCCAATTCGCATTATATACCAACCAATTAAATTAAAAACCAATAAATAATTTTAATTTTAAATAAAAACCTTCATTATAATTTAAAATTAAAAACTTTGTAAAACCGACTTGAATATAAATTATTAAGAATAATTCAAAAACTATTGGTCAGACCTTAATCAAATTATATATATATATATATATATATATATATATATATATATATATATATATATATATATATATATATATATATATGGGACCACATAAGCACCAGCTTTCAAATAAAAAAAGAATCATCGAAATCGGTTCACCCAGAAAAAAGTTATGAGGTAACACACATTAAAAATATACAGAAGAATTGAGTACCTCCTCCTTTTTGAAGTCGGTAGAAAATCAGTTATTTTATTCTTCCTAGATTATTATTACGTAGCGAAACCTGACAACTGAAGATTCATACACATTTAGAGAGTTTACCTTTGAATTCACCGCAGTACAAAAAAAAGTATTATAAAAAATATATGTATATTATTTAATTATTTTTATTTTTTGTGTTGTGTATAATATTATAAATACAAGTGATAACTGTATTTAAAACTAGTGACCCCTGCTTCGCCTGAGTACGATCTATTAATGTGGCGTTATTTAGAATTTTTTCGGTTTTATTTAATGCTCAGGTTTTTAGGATAATATATAGCCTTCATATATATCCTGGCTTTGCTCTTTATCAGTTTGTGAAGTTTAATTACAATCGGTTTGTCCATTCCGAAGAATTGGAAAATTTTTACTACCCTGACATAATTGAAAAATTTGAAAAATGATTTTTCATGTCTTAATAGTACCTATGCAAATAGCCTCCTCAACTTAATATAAGTCAGTTACTTCGACGTTACAGACAGACATTCCAATTTTATATATAGGTATGCATATAACAATTATGCGTCGAATAAAAATAAATTATTTAGGTTGACAAATTTTCTGCATTTAAAATAAACTACAATATTTTACGTACGCCCGAAGTATATGGATATGTGTACATATTTCTTTTTTAATTTATGAAGTACTTTCCATACCTATAACTTCAGGTGGCGGCAAGTACGGTGAGGCTGCGCACATACTCTGAAGGTCTCTGACTCCTCGCTCTAGATCCCCAGATCCTTCACACAGTTCCTGCTTAATTATTTCTGCTTGCTTCGGCGAAGGTCCCTCAAGAAACGCCATTGTTATCCACTAAACTATGAAACTATACTATAACTTTATCCGATTTATAATTTTTATGAGCGAAACCAATACACCGAGTTGCTTACACCAGCTACGTAAGAATATGACTGTGAGCGACCAGTATACAGCGCTTTTTATAAACAAGTTCCGATTAAAAATTTACTCGCAAATAGATCCTGCGCAGACTAGGCGCTTTGCGACACACCTGACTTATAGTTTTCAATATATATTATACTCCACTAAATTAATTTAACTTTAATTTTTACTTATTTTATTAAAACTATTTTTACAAAAATAACGTGTTTGTCATAAAATATAACGCACATCACTGCCTTAATTTTACTGCATCATGTACGTGTATGTTTTTGATAACTATTTCTGCCCTACATAAATTTGTCCACATTTGCTGAAGAGCGCAAATTTTGATGACGCCGTAAAACATAGAGTGTAAGTGGCATTATATGCATTGCATGACGCAGTATTTATGCAGCTTAATTTTCTTTTTACCTTTTTTTAACTTATTTTTATATATTATATAAATTTTTTGAAAGTCCTACAAAACTTATTATTGTAATTTCATTTTGTAGTTTACCTGCAATGACGAAATAAGAAATAGGGTCGTACTTCCTTCGTGGTAGTACTCTGAAGGTATTACCACCCTAAACCTATACTACCACTTCTAGGGAGAGCAGTGGCGTTAGCCTGGAATTACTCCGAACAATTCCTTCGAGAACTCCCCGTGGTAAATGCTAGTCAAGTTGATCGGAAAGAACTCGGTCGTTGACGATTCGAGCCACTGTGTGCTGGATGCGGTTAAGTGGAATAAGCTGGCACTGGGGTGCCCCGGTCCAGAAATGAAAACAGATGTGCCGGCATGAAATACTGTCCTGCTCTACTAATCATGCCAATCGTTTAGAGGTCAGGTGACTGCTGCGTTGAAAGACGTCATTCGATATGCCAATGCCGAAGATTCCGATGCTGGCTGAGGCAACACAGGGAGTGCTCGAAATTGAAGAGATACGACAAACAGGTTCATCTTAGCAGTAAATACGCAAACTTGTATCTTCTGGGGTTTGAACTGGACTAGATTTAGTCGCACTCAATCAAAAATTTTTTCAACAAAGAAGACACTAGTTTATTTCGGCACTCGTCGACTTGTTCCCGAGAAATAAGCATCATCTTCCAATTAAAATATTATTTTAAAATACTTAAACAATAAATATAATATTGTCATAGGCGGTGATTTCAACATGGATATATTAAAACCTAACAATAAAATCTCTGGTTTTCTTAACTTAATGTTAGAATACAAATTCAACCAATATATCAAAACACTCATACAACGGGAACCACATCTACGTTTCTAGACCTCATATTTACGCACCTTAATAATAAATATTTAAATACTACTGTAGAAGAACTAGGGTTTACTTTTCGCTCGGCAAAAATTATACAGCTGAAAATACCCCAACAAATTAAACAACTAGAATAGTACACGGAAAAACGTATTTCTAATAAAAGTGCAATAAACCAGTTTAGAATACAATTACAGTTAATAGATTGGAACGAAATAATAATCGAACACAAAAACATAAATGAAAATTACGATATGTTCCTCGATAGGCTAATAACCGTATTAAACCAAATCATTCCGAAAGGACGAATCAAAATAAAATCGAAACCAAAAAAATATTGGTTAACAGTAGGAATGAGGAAATCGTGTAAAAATAAAAGATTGCTAAAAATACTTACAACAAAAACGAATAACCCAATACTGAAACTACGTTATAAAAATATGCAAAGACATTAAAAAACGCTATAAATAGTGCTAAAAAAATTCAATACATTAATAAATTAAAACATTCAGATAACAAAATCAAAAGTATGTGGCATATGAATACAAAAAAGAGAGAACAAATAAAACAAATGCAAACGAAAAGCGTAATATAGAATTAAAAATAAATGGTGTGATAAGTTCAGATCCAAAACAAGTCGCTAACACATCCAATAACTTTTTCGCGTCGATTGGTGAATTCAACCCTGAGCCAGCAACAGGCGGTGGTGTTCGCGGCCGCCCTGTTCTCCGGCCGACACAAAACACCATGTATCTGAGCCCAGTCGACTATCCCGAGGTATATAAAATTATTAAAAGCTTGAAGAATTAAAGAAGCCACGGCATATATGAACTTTCACCTCATATGATCAAAGAATGTGTAAACGAATTAACCGTACCGTTGGCAATATTAATAAATCAATCCTTTAACGAAGGCACCTTTCCAATACAACTAAAGAAGACAATTATAAAATCTGTTCATAAAAAAGATGAAACAACGATCCAAGTAATTATCGCCCTATTGCCCTTTTGCCGACTGCATCAAAAAATTTTGAGAAGGCCATTTGTAACTGCGTTACTAGATTTTGTGAAAAAATCAGATATTTGGCGATTGCCAGAAAGGCTTTCGTAAAAACCACTCCACAATTTTAGCAGTGTACAAATAATATTAATGAAGTTGTCAAAATTTTAGATAATAAACAATACGGTGTAGGTATCAGACATGACGAAGGCATATGATAGGGTGCAACATAGTATACTATTAAATAAACTAAACTATACGGGATAGGTATTCGTGGCTCCGCTCATAAATGGTTTGCTTCGTACTTGAAGGATAGGTAGCAATTCGTTGAGATCGAACACTTCGATATAAATATTTCATACGTGCGCTCCGATTGCAAAGTAACAAATGCATCAAAACCTCAAGGAAGTGTCGTTAGATGTCTTTTATTTTTTTATTTACATCAATGGCCTTCCTAAACCTATAGAAGATACGTCTGCCTTATTTGCCGATGATATATCGCTATTAACTTCATGCCACAACGATACTGATATTTATGACAAACTCAATTTAATTATTACCTACCAAAACTTCAGACTGGTTGAATGATCATAATCTAAAAATAAATTTTTCTAAAACTAAAATATTAACTTTTCATCCCCATCAAAAAACTTCATTAAATTTAAAATTCGATTTCAATGGCATAATTTTAGAATCTGTGAAAGAATTTAAATTACTCGGCATAGATATAGACACTCACTTGAATTGGAAACCGCATGTCCATTGTCCATAGAGTGAGGTCTAAACCTTCGCGCTTCTCGAATGCATTACGCGAATTAAAAAAAAACTACCAACATAGAAACGGCAGTAACAACTTACTATGCGTGTGCGCACGCTTGGCTGAGTTATGGCATCATTCTGTGGGGCAACAGCACGGATGCAGCCTCTCTATTCACCCTTCAAAAGAAATTAATCCGGATTATAGCAAATATAGATCAGAATAATAGCTGCAGACCGTTCTTTCTTAAATATAAAATATTAACCTTACCCAGCTTGTATATATATATATATATATATATATATATATTGAAGATGTGTAAATTCGTTCGAAAAAATAAGCAATTTTATACAAAACGGGAAGATTTACCATGCAAATACACGTTACGACACAAAAATAAATTAGTATTGTCAAATTCCTGATTTAAACTAAACAGTTCTAGAACATTAAGTTCTTCCATAAAATTATATAATAAACTGCCTGACATATTAAAAAATGAAAATAATGACATCATATTTGCAAAAAAATTAAAACAATATCTAATAACTAAATGTTACTATAGTATCTTCTAATGAATATTTTATAAAATAGGTTTGACAACTTTTTTTGTCAATTGAAATGATCACTCAATCAAATTGAATTCTATCTCAATAAACCATAATGATATTCTTTTATGTAGCTAAATACGCTTCCTCTCTCCTAGCCCCTAAATTGCGTGCCCAACAGGGTCCATAACACAGGTCTCACATTATTTTATAACATCTTATGTACATTATGGTTTAGCAATAAATGTTTGAGTTTGAGTTTGAGTCTTAAAGCATCATAAAGCATCGCCAGTGCTGTTATCTGCATAACAATGAATGTTACACACAGTGCTGGATTAACCACGTAGCAAGAGTAACAATTTTTGCTATGGGCCTCGCGTATGAGAGGGCGTATCAAAACCCGACCACCTCCGACTAAGCGTAATTTTTGGAGTGAAACTTATTTAGGTACTTGATGTCACAAAAACGTGAAACGGTAAACCTTTTCCGACCAAGGCAATCCACGTTAGACTATTTCGTTGGCGAAAATAAAACAAGTTCTACAAAAAGTCGCTCGCATAAATAATGTATAGAATTTAAATCCGCCCGATAATCGGCTTTACAAAAAGTCTAACGTGTGCAAGCATATGGTGCTGTGTTTCATATTTGCGTTTTAATTTTTGAGTAAGTTATTACAGTAATTACGATATCTTTTAAACGTTGTTAAGCCACGCTGCGGCTATATTGTGGTTGTAGCATGAATGGATCGGCACGATCGGGGTAGGACCACGCTCTCACAGAATACCAGTGCAAAATAGCAGCTTAATGCTGCTGTGCTTAGGATGGTAAGTGTAGAGAACCGGAGATACTTTTTACCGGAAACGAGGCATTTCATCTTAGGCCTCAGGGGTGACAACGTATCTGAATTATGGATTATAATATTAATCGAGGATAAATATAGATGTGAATAGGCCACAGCATCCACTCACCATCAGGTGGACTGTGTGCTCGCTTGTCACCCTTATTCTATAAAAAGGTGGACTGTGTGCCCGTTTGTCACCTTATATTATTAAAAAAAACCTTATTTTTAGAATTTCATTAAAGGGATGCAAGTGTTTAATGGTAATAAAAGTCGACGCGACCGTGCGACAGTAGCCGCGCGGAACCCAATTTTCAACATTAAATAAAAATAGTTGCTCATGGATATCCGGGAATCAAATCGGAAAAAATACCCCTAAGATTTCCTCCTCTTTAAGAATATTTTTCCGATTTTCGAAATCCCTTTATTTATTGAGTTATTAACAAAAAGCTGAGACCCTTATTGCACGGTAGGTAGTGGTTTACTTTCGACACGTCAAGGTCAAG